ATAAATCTGAGAAACTGGAGCCAAATTTTTTACATCCGTCTGGGCATTAGACTAAGTTGTGAATGGGTGGTATTCTAGCCCAGGAGAGGCGTGGCAAGTTTGACAGACTTAGTCTAATTGGGCAGGAAGACAGAGTTAACCCATTCGTGGATTCTTCATCTTCATGCTGGAGAAGGGGCATTATCTTACACACACACACACACACACACACACACACACACAATGTTTGAAGCTACATATGGATGTGGTAGAAAGATATTTACAAGGACAGGTACAGAGAACCTGTAAATGGTTCTGCTGTAAATTAAATTTAGATATTATCTTGCTTCATGTTTTTATTTTCTTTGATTTGTTATCTTTTATTTATTTTATGTGTTCTGCATAATTCTGCTTATCCTAGAAAGGAATCACCTTAAAAGAAACATAAATATATCAAAACAAAGAATAGGATGTTTGAATCCATGAGCCATTAGAGGAAATAAAATGATTTCCCCCCATTAAAATATCAATGAAATAAAAAGTAATACATTTTAAGGGGGGTTGTGTTCTTTCTTCCATCTAAAGGACCACAGGAACATCCTCGTATCAAACACCAGTTATAATACCATTTATCATAAACCATGCTAACATAATGAAAAGTATAGCTGAAAATGCCAGATACTCTTCAAAGATGAATGGATTTTTAACATTACCTGCTCCATAAAGCTGAAACAACATAAACTTGTACTTTAAAAAATCAAAACCTGATTTTGTGTCAAAGAAAATAAGGAATATACAGTACATTACAAATAACTTAAAAAAGAAATAAAAAGCTAAAATACAAGGAGGAAGGAAAGAGCTCATCTCTAAAAGGTTTACCTGGAAGTCTCATGAAACTCAATAAAGTTTACTTCCGAATGTTTGAGTTTAAGATTGCAGTTTAAAGCCAATTATGATAATTTACAATCTTCACTTACAAATCCATATTAGCTACTGAAACTCTAGCAGCGATTTGCATAGCAGTAATTAAAGCAGTATCTTAGATTTTATAAGTAGAAATATAGGCTTATTTAACTGCTAATCTCCAGATGAAAGCTGAACATTCATTTGCTTATTTTTCTTGTCTAAGAGGTTTGAGAAAAAGATCTTTAACTGCTACCTACAGTTAATGTAGCTTTTAGACTTGTCTAATAAAAAGTCTCTGATTTTATGAATCCAAGATTGCTGCTGTTTAAAAGGAAGACAATTTTGATGCATCAAGGAAGACATTCTCAGAAATAGTCAAGAAATGCTGCTTATGTGACCTTGCACTAAGAATGGGCAATTCTTTCCCCTTCGGCTTCATTCATTTTTGCATTTTCCATCCTAGTCATACATTTATTTCACTCATTTCTGTGCTTCATGAATTCAGTTCCATTACCTTCCAAAAAAAGAAAATCTGATGGAAAATTAGTAACATATTAGTCATTACGAGAACTTTCTAATTGTGTATATTCCATAAATATTAGTTTTCTTTAATATTATTCCTATCTTATACTTCTTCAAACATTCATTTTATACATACTTTCTTCAATAGATGCTTTTTAGTACTTGCATGTTTTCTGAATTTTGCAAATCTATTCTGATTCTCACATAGGTCTGGGGAAAATGGAATTTGTTGAGTTTTTATAATCATTCAAATCAAAACATGTTTCCATTTCTTCACCTTGAATAAATATGAACAACAGAGATAGAATTGTTGCTCTACTGTTTTTTTTTAAATTAGGATCTGTAGGACCAGCCTGCAAATAAATTGAAATTCTACTCTCAAAGTAACTATTGCAGAGTCAAGAATTTATAAAATAATTTGAGCATTTTAAAGTACAGGACTATTTTCAATATTACATGATTACATATAATATTGTAATTCTATTGTTAAATCCTATGGGAATTTACAGAAATTCCCAAAGGTCTCCTTCTTTTCCATCTGTGAAAATAGAAATTATCCTGGAAAGTTTTCTTAGTCTCTGGATATGAAGATATGGGAGTATGAAGATCCTGTTCTACTAGGAGGATAAATTTGCAATCAAATGTTCATATACAGCAGAATTAGGAATAAAATAGTTCATGTTCTCTAGGAGAATGGCTTCCAATCAATGTTTCCAAATTGCTTTACCAGGAAAATGTGCCAGAGATAGATATGAAGGTAGAATAAGCATAAATAATTTGTAAATCAGTGTAAGAAGAAAAAGTTGGCTCTGTTTGTACTCCTTTTTCTAGTGCTCCTTTTTACCTGGAGACAGAATGACCAGGCATTAAGCAGCTTCACCTCCATGCCAAGCATGATGATGTTTATCATCCCCAAAATGTATACACAAAAGTACTGTGTAGATGTGTTCTAATTAACATGCATACATCAGGAATGGAAGTTGCTATTTCATTCCTCTGACATGTTAATTTTAATCCACAAGAGCATCAGGCTGGCATCTATGTACTATTCCCAGTAGTGAACAGAGAGACTCAGAACATCCAAGAATCATTATATAAAATTAGGAGAGCAGATTTGCTGCATGGATCTTCCTATCAGGATGTTTGGCAAAATATCAAAAACGAGCTCTTGTAGGCTTGAGAATTATTTCTTTATCCTTATGTGACAATGCTTGTAATCTGTGAATCACCCAGATAAGTTCATTGACCTGTGCTTTATCCTGTATAAAAGGCTATACGTTTAGTACAGAAGGAGATTGCTTGTAAAAATGTCAAGAACTAACAGATACAGGATTCCTGTTTCGTGTGACTTATTCTAAAACAGTGACTCTCAACCTTTCTAATGCCGTGACCCCATAATACAGTTCCCCATGTTGTGGTGACCACCAACCACTTATACATCACCGGGTGCCAGGGGCGTGGCCAAAGAAAAGGGGGAAAAAATGGCGGACAGCCTTATTTGGCGACCCGGTGAAATGGTCATTCGACCCCAAATGGGGTCCCAACCCACAGGTTGAGAACCACTGTTCTAAAAGAAGGGAGGAAAAGAAGTACCGGTAGCTGCATGCATGTGAGGAGATTTTTTACTATAATTTGTAGGAAAACTATGAATTATGTTTTATAATAGCAATGATTCTATGAAGAATTAATTAGTTTGATGGAGGAGAGTGCTTCAGGGCCAGATTTCAACCAAGAAAATGCTAAGTATAAGAAGCACACATGATTCTTGCAGACATAAAGCAAAGGAGTAGACACCTGGCTTGTTTATTGAACTGATGTGTGTGGGAAAAAAAATCTATAGTATTGGCAGGGATGTTGATGGTGGTAAAGCTACATAAATTCTTCTAGGATAGTACAAACTACACAGTTTGGTTAAATAAACTGCCTTGGAAAAATACTTAAGTGTGATAGGATATTCTATTGTATCAGTTTTATTGTAAACATATGTTTTTAAGACATTATTCAAATCAAACCATTGTGATAGGGAATCCCGAAGAAGGAACTATTGCAATTAGCTAGGTTTGGTGAGACCATGCACAGAACCAAATGGAAACTTTATTTCTACTAAAACATCAAACTGCTTTGTTGTAATGAAATATATTTTTCTCCTTAGAAGCAATGCTAACTAAGCATAAATGAAGGAAATACAAGTGGATACAAGAACCACGATATTCAAAAAGAGTCTTCTATGACATTCCAAAGCATATCAGCCATTTTCAAAAAATATGTTCAACATTGATTATGTTTTTTGACTGCAGTTGGTTCAGAATGCAGTGGCTCAAGCAGCAATGGGCATGTCTCATTGTGGCCATATGTCACCACTGTTCTGAGAGCTGCATTCCAGATGTTTTGGGGCAGAAGGGGTACATTCCAGGTATCTTTTACGTTGCCATCCATTGGGACTTAGAAAGCATGCCTTCTCTGTTGCAACCTCTCACTCTGGGATATCATTTCTCCAGAAATATGGATGCTGCTCTCTTTCCTGGGATTCCAATAAGCTCTTACAACCTGGCTTTAGCTCCAGGTTCAAGGTTGATGTTTTTGGGAAGATCCTTGCCAATTCTTCGTTTTTAATAAAGGAGAATATTTGTAGCTCAGGGTTGAAATAAGATGCTCTCTGGGCTTGGTTGTTTTCTTGCAGACATTTCATTACCCAATTTTTAGTTTTTGCTTTGTTTTGTCAATTTTTTAAACTAATTTAGTATTATATTTTGTAAGCCGCCCAGAATCTGCTGGAGTGGGTAGCTATAATAATGAGATAAATAAATAAACTCTTCTTGCCTTCTGAGCACTCAGTAGCAATTATCCATTTCAAAAATTGGAAGTATATAACTACAACTGCATTATTATGGACTATATTCACACATTACCTCTGAATCTTCAAAGTTGCCGATAGAGTTGAAATAGCAATTGCTAAGCTCTAGCGGATGAATGTAACCTGCTGTTATTATTGATCTTTATGGATAACATTTTTCAGCCATTCAATCTAATAGTCTGAGCAGTAAAAGAATAAAGCCTGATTCTGTAACCTATAGAAATGTCATCTCTGTTGGCCATACATCTTGTATTATTCTTTAAAACCATTTTTATTGCATTTCCTTTTACCTTCATTCTTCTTTGAATACTCTTCAACTCTGTTTGCTATTTGAGTTCAGCTGTCATGAATAGTTTCAAGGTTACAATTTGAATAGTTCTTTGAAGAAAGAGAAAGATGGGAGGGACGGAGGGAGGGAGGGAAGGAGAGAGAGAGAGTGAGAGAGAGAGAGAGAGAGAGAGAGAGAGGGAGAGAGGTAGAAATCACTCATTTCACTCACAAAGCATAAATAGCTTAACTTTTCAATATTGAAAATATATATCCCTACATGACATTATGTAAATCCTGGCACATACTTTTCTTAAAAAAAAAAATCTGAACAATTTGCTGTATTTTCTGGATATAGTTAATCTGTCTTGATCACAAAGATTATATGTACAGATCCTCCTAAATTATAGAGAATGTCTTCTTACTGTATATAGCAGGTTCATTCTTAAGCATACAAAGTAATAATACTTACTCCTGTTATGTAGCGAGGTCTATACTGGATGGTTCCAAATAGGCCAAGTATGACTATAATAATGTGTACAAAATTTGCCAGGATTGGTGCCCATTGATAACCAAGGAAATCAAATATTTGTCTCTCCAGCACACAGACCTAGGATTAAACAACAACAGTGATTTGATTAGAATAGCTCAAGAAGAAAGAAACGAGAGGGGGAAAAAACAGTGTTTTGAAGAATAGTTTCTCCTTCAGTACTACCATTAGTACTGATAAGGCAAAAAAAGACAAAGAATAGCAGATTTACGCTATGATTCACTCTTTCTGTTTTATTAAAAATATGCTTTTTTAGAACAATAATCCACTGAGATCTGTTTAGATAAAATATTCACATGGGCAGTTTTAAGCAAGATACAAATCCCCATTCAATGAGATGCTACAGCTGAAGGCAGTGAAGCATTAAGAACTTCATCATTTACCATTAATAGGATTTCCATGTCTAGAATTGGTGGTTTGCTTGCAAGTTCAATATAGACTATTTTCAGATAAAAATGTGAGTGCATACCTGTCCGTGTGTGGCAAAATAAAGGATCTGAGTCAAGTATCAAATATATGAAATTAAGATTGATCCAGGTTTGCAATGCAAGTGATTGCACTGCAAAACTATGATTTATTTTATATGCTGCTAGTTTCACTATACAGAGTAACTCTGGGTGGCTTACAATAGCATGAAAGTATTAAAAGGGTTAAAATTAACAACAGTTAAATAAAGGATTTACTTAAGATTTGGATTTGAACATTTTGTACAGTCCTGAAAGAGATTTTAGGAATTATATGTATCTCATGAATTATATTCTGCCTTACTGAAACCATCTGAAAATCTATTGAAAAACTCAATTTCTTCTACATTGATAAAACACACAAACACACACACACACACACACACACACACACACACACAGAGAGAGAGAGAGAGAGAGAGAGAGAGAGAGAGACTGATTCATTAGACACATACCATTATTTAAGAACAAAGATGGATCATTCACCTAATTGTCTCTCAAAATGTGTCAAGCTCTTGGATACAGAAATTGTTTTTCGCAGGAATGCGAAACACAGAAGGCACACTGATTGTAGTTGTTGCCACTGTGTAAAATGGAAGTCCATTTTAGCAACTATCAAAACCCATGTACTGTAATTTTCCAGCACTATGGAATCGCATCTTGTGAGCTAAATGTATCAGTGCCTTACACTTCTGATCCAAGATCTGAGGACAATAGCTCCGATGAAACAATATTACAACCGTTTTAGCACAATCACCAAAGATTCACAGACCAAACATACTTGGTTCCAGTGAGTTGACAGAAAGAGCTAAAGAACGATAGAACCACAATAATTATAGCAAAGTAGTCTCCTTTTTTTGTGTATAGATTTTATTAGTTTTTTATTGGGTTAGAAATAAGGTGGGGTCGGGGTTGGGGTTAGGATTTGGGTTAGGATTAGGGTTGGGGTTTTTCCAAATAACATTCTCAATATTTAGTAAACAGCATGTGTTTAACAAACAATAATAGATAATAGTTAATTATCATAAACAATATGTTAATTAATCACTTAAAGGCCTTCTTGCTAATATATATTGAAAATTACATATCACATTCCTTTCTCTCTAACTCGTTTTTCTAGCCATTGATAGAAATTATCCCATGTTCTAAAATACACTGAGCTTCTTTCCCTTTTATCTTTAAAGTCAATCTACCCATTTCTGCACACTCTAAAATTTTCTTAATTACTACTTCTTCAGCTGCTAAATTTTCATTTTTCGAATATTGGGCAAATACAATTCTTGCTGCTGTTAGTACGTGTAGTAGCCTCCTTTTTATCTGTTGCTTCTCATGTTGCAAAGGACAGAAAAAAATAGATTATGCAGAAGAACAAATGAATGATAGCCGAATCCTGGTTCCCATCTTCACAATCTTATTTATGAAAAGTGAGAGGGATGTTTCATTCACAGACTTGCTTAGTCTTCTCATGACTACTATTACCCGTAAGATTCAGGTTTAGCTGAATTCTTCACAAAAACTCAGAAGATGACAGCATCCTGATTGTCATCTAAAAAGTTAACTAGAAGAGATCTGGTTCATAGTTGAATGGGAAACTATCATAAAATCCCAGGTCTATAGACTAGGCTGGGAAATAAAAATTATATTAGAAGAAGGCTATAATAAGCCTCTTCTAGAACCTTTTCAGGAAAATTATAGACTATACAATAGACATGCCCAAATAGTCATCAGAAGACAATTCATGCATTCATGAAATGGTTTCCATCCCAAAAAGTTGATGACATAATATGAGATGTCAGTCTCTAGTCTTTAAGGTACCACAAAGTTTTCCTGAAGTAGAAACAAGAACTTACTTCTCTATGTTGTGATATTTACATATATGTATGGCTAAAAATAAATTTGACTTAATTTTATTTTAATATTTCAAGGATGACATAATTCTTTATTTCAGTTAAATACTACATTACAATTTCAAGGAAATTTGGAGATTTTTTTCTTTTCTTTTTTTACGAACTATGTAATGTGATTAATCCAATTTCGGAGTCAACCCACCACATTAATGAAAACACAGAACAGTCATTCACTCTAATTTACCTAATACATATCAGTTTTCACATCCATATTTCCAATGCATCATACAATCTACATAACATTTATTGCAAATAACTCAGGGTCCCAGATAACTAAACCACAGCATCTGCACACAAAAATACAAAACATTTTCACATCCTCAATACCTCTAATATCACCACAAGCATTCCTCATACATTTATGCAAATTTATTAAGAAATGTTCAATGCAGAGTTGGAAATTATGAACTTATTTACACACGCCTACCCATAAATCCATTCATTAATTTTATTTGGTTTAGTACCACTTTTAAAGATAGATCCTTTTGATCTATCTTTAAAAGTGATATTAAAAGCAAGGGAAAACAAAACATTTGCGTAAAACCCTTGTGTACCCATTACCAGAAGCCAAGGACTACACATGGTTTATACATTGACCATTGTTATTGTAAATCAAAAGGGGAAACCACTAGTAGCACATAACAGGTTTAAGTTTATCTATTTTTCTTCAAACTGACTTGAAGGTTTAGACACAGAGAACAAAGAAATTTTAATAGGGGAAATCAAATTTCTTATACCAACATTTTTGTTATATAACAAAAATGAAGTTTCATCCTTAGTACAAACAATATCAGTAAATGTTCAAAGATATACTGTAGTAGTTACAATGCATATCTTGTGATAATTATAAAAATGTCATCAACAAGCAGAAAAACATTTTTTATTTCAACTGATTTGGACTTCCAATATATATCTATAGTGTATTGGTTTATTTTAATTGTTTACATGAATAAACTAAGTGAGCAATTGATCAGGGATTTTGATGCTCTTGAGGAATAATCACATTAATCTTGAATGAATATAGAGAAGCACTTTAATATGATTATGTATATAGTTTATTCCTGACCCGACAAAATATGCACACTGTGTACCATTTTTAAATGGCATGCATATAAATGCTTTGCATCATTTTGCTATATTCAAACAACAGCTTGGTAAGAAACAAGGCCCTCAAGAGGGTTTAACTAGTTATGTCCTTGAAATCCTTTATAAATTAAAATAAAATCAGTAAGCAAATTAATTATTCTGGTGACATACTTTATCTCAGAGACCAATATTAGCTTTTAAATAAACAAAGGTGCATGCATAACATAAGCATCTAATTCAACTGATCCACTGCCATGCTTGAAGAGAAATAATATTTCCGTAAAAATTATTACATTTTAAGAAGAAACAGCTTTCTCTCTTCTGACATTTTCTTTGAACTTTGTTTTTGCTCTGAATTTACAGGCAAGCAAGTAATTCCATTTTTGTTGATCAATTAGATTATATTAGGCATATTATTACGCATTTAAAGACTTTCCATATTTTTCAATATATACAAGACCAGCAAAGCATAGCAGGAGCGCTTTAGCTAATCTTTGTCATAGGACAACCAAGTTGGAATGCTCAGCTGCCAGGAGGGAGCCTAAATGATGGAAACAAAAATGATGGGCAAAGACAGTTTGAACACACAAGTTCTTACAAAAAAAATTGTAAAATTGTAGAAAAAAGGGTATTTTCTCCCCAAGAGATCTCAGTATTTTTAGACATCAAGAGACAAGGATTGCAGCAGAGAAAAAAGCTAGAGATAGACTAACCATACCTCACAGGTACACTAATTAAAAAAAAAAAACGTGCCCAAAAAAGCAATAAAGAAACACACCATGATTTACTAAAAGCATTTTGCAAAAAATGCTGGGAAAAAACATCCTTCTAATTAGCAAAGTACATTGCCAACCTTATAACCTTAAAAAGTACATGGAGTTGCCCTTTTTATATGGTAACAGTTGCCAGGACATTTCGAGTTACTTCTTGGAAATCACACATAATTCTTTAGAAAAATGAAATTGTGGAGGTATGCCTCAATGTAAAAAAAATAACTCATGTGTTAAATTGATAATTTGTCACCTTTAGACTTATTGCTAATATTACTTCCAAAGTTTTTGTTTAATTTTATGCAGCTTGGAAATTTATATTCCTTTTTTGCTTTTATCTTTTTTTTTTGGCTTTTTGGAGGGGGAGGAAGGCTATCAAAATACATTACAATAAGTACAAATTAAAAAATAAAAAGAAAATTTATCAATTCACATTAGCAACACAAGATAAGAGTATTTTTTATTTATGCAACATTATTGCGCAAAATATTAAAAAATATTTTTGTTTTTTAGATTTAGGTACAGTACTTCTCCCATTAAACTTCCATGTTTCTGTATTTTTTATTTCACAGGCTTACTTCATGAACTAGTTCCGGTATTTTAATTTGGTGTTTTACTTTATGCCTTCAAATGTTTTTATTGCTGTAGTGAATAGATCTCTTCTCCTAGTTACTAAATTTATGATATTCTATGGTAAACAAGACTTCAGTATAAGAGAGCACTGCCACAGACCACAATGAAAGGAAGATATTGAAAAAGCATTGTAAAGAAAAACTTGTCCAAAAGTATGTACAATTTTATTTCACCTAAGATAAGCATGCTATTTATGCAAG